ACCCCCCGCCTTCCCCGCGGCGGCCCCGCCCTACCCCCATACTCCCAAACCCAGGTGCTGGCAGTGCTGCTGGTGGTCCTGGCTGCACTCCTCTGGCGCGCTCGCGATGCGTGCACCGACGACGCCACCACTCCTGGCGGCGTCGCCCCGCCTCCGCGGCCGCCGATGATGGAGGGTGACATCATTGCGCCGGACGAGGCAGTCGACGGCGATGGCGGCAGCGCGGTGCCCTCAGACCCCTACTCGGCTCTGAAGCAGAACTACGACGCCGTGCTGCAGTTCACAACCACGGTGGGTATGGATGCGGTGGCTGTGTTGCTTGTTGAGTCTTTAGAGGTCAAGAGCTGGATCGAAGTTGCCCTCCGTCCCTTGCAGCGTGCTTCCTGGTGCGTCACGCAACTTGCAGGCGGCTTTCAAAGTTGGAAGGTTCAGGCCCATACAGCACCCCAGCTACCCTTGCTGCAAAGTGCTAACCTTGCACCAAAATGCATTCCTATCTGGGCGCTCCCGACTCCGCTCACCTCTCTTCGCTGTCTCTGCCTAATGGGCCCCCTTGTGCAGGTTCAGAACGTGCTGGATGGCTGGGCGGCCTCTATAGAGCGCTTGCAGGCCCTGGTCACCTGGCAAGACCCCACTGCCAGCACAGTACTGCTGGCCAGCATGCTGGGCCTCGCCCTCGCGCTCGCGTTGCTGGGCTTGCGGCCGCTGGCTACCCTGGGGCTGCTTTGGGTGTTTCGGCCTCCGGCACTGCGGGACCCCTGCCCGCCCCCGCCGGTGAACCTGTTGGGGCGCCTGCCAAACAGATCAGACATGACGCTGTGACAGCACTATTGTTGCAAGGCCCAAGCTGGATTGACATCACATTAGAACAGAGGGGCGCATTGCAGGATGTGATTGCACACATGTTGATATTGGCCAGCGGTTGTTGTCAGGGAATTTGCCAAAGCAGCGTTCTAGGACAGGTTGATATTCTGTGTTCCATACTTCCGACTTATGTGGGTGCACAGTGCACAAGACGGCTGGACACGATCTTTGTGAAGCTGTGGTCAGATTGTGCCTCACCGTGTAACATGTGGTTGTTGAGTGAGTTTTGAGCGGCGAGAGTCAGCGGTGGTGGCGGGGCGCGCGGGGGCAGGCGGGGCACAACCCCAGCAATTAAAAATGCAGCTACCCGCCGTCAGGCACAACTCTGGGAATGGCGCCGCCACAGAGCCGGCACCGCAACACAGCTGTCACGGCGTTTTCCCCTCAATCCGGCCGCCCCAAGCGCCGTGCGCATGACTGACACTCCGCGATGCGCCTCTCCGTGTCTTCTATCCGCTGCTTCTGTTCCTTGACCTCCCACTTGTGGCCCACGAGATCAAAAAAGCATCCTTTCAGAGCCAGCTCAGCCTTTTCTCCCCACGCCAGTAGCAGTGCAACCAGGGCGTCGCCCAGGCTGGGCAATCCGGCGCTTCTGTAGCTTTCCCACAGCTCCCGCAAATCCTCCAGGCCAGCGTCCCCCAATCGCAGGCAGGCCAACAGCCGCGGCCACCACTTGGCCCGCTGCGCTTGCGCATGCGGCTGAGCCGCCACCCATGCGGTTCCTGCGCGCAGCGCGGACGGCGCCCGGGCGCGCGTCACCACTGCGGCCAGGCAGTCAAAGGGTAGAGGTCGAGCGCAGGGTCGCTGGCAAGTTCCGCCAGCGCCTCAGCCGCCTGCCCGTAGAGGCTCACCTCGCACGCTCGTGAGCATGACGCACAGCGCGGCCGGCGTGAGCGGTACTGTGCTCAGCACGACGAGCAGCCGCCAGGCCAGGCCTGAGCGCAGCTGGTGCTGGTCCGCGAACGCGTGCAGTGCGACCAGGCCCGACACAGGCACCTCGACCCGCTGCCCATACATGTGCGCCACGAGGTGCGCCACAGCCGAAGGGCCTGCATCTCACAGCTCGACCTCCGCTTCGCGCGCCTCCTTCATTAACTTGAGCAGAGCGTCGCAAGGAATACGGGGCTGGCCGCGACGAGCACTACCCGGTGTGCGCGGACCTCGGCGCCGCCGCTGCGGATGGCCACGTCGCAGAACGGCCCGTTGAGCATGCAGCTCATTGCGGCTGCGCCCGCCGCCGGCTTGACTGCGAAGGCGTCGTCCGGGCCAAGTGCAGCCCCCGGCATGAGCGCCAGCACGGCCTGCAGCCGGAAGCCCCTCCACGGCGGCTGCCGCGTCGCCGTGTTGGGGGTTATAGTACGCAGTGTTGAGAGTTTGCTTGCGCAATAGGCCGATGGAACTGTGGCAAGGCCCTTGGCCATGGCTGCTGTTGGGGGGCTGCGTGCAGTCGAGCGGTAGCAGCCTGGAGGCCTGGGCCTTGTGCCGGCTTTTCAGGTAAACGGGTTTGAGGCAGCCCGTCTACATACCGCTCTATGAATGGTGGCCATCCAACTGCTTGTTGGACCCGCTGGCAAGTACAATGTTTTTGCAGGTCGCAGAGAGGGGTAAGACCCCCGCTTGATTGTTTGAAAATCCTCAAAAAGCAAAAAAGTCGAAATCGTTCAGGCGGCCGTGTTTGACCCCCTTTGACGCTCGCACCCGTGCTCCCATGGCCGCGCATCCAGAGGGAGAGTGAGCCGCTGAGTTTCCTCCCTCACTCATTGCTCCCCGCACTATCACCCACGCAACCTCCCGTCAGGGAAATTGCATGAATGGCTGGTGGCTCCATGGGACAGGCGCTTGGGCACGTCAAAGGGGCACAAATCGCCCAAGAGACCCCTTCCGCACGTTGCTCCCACTCGGGTGACAGCAGGACGCAACCCCTGCCAGCGAGCCAGCGCGCGGCATAAAACTCTAGCAACCCACTACCCAGTACTCAGCCAAGATGCAACTGGGTGCAGAGCTGCCATGTCATCTTGCTTTGTAGCCCGTTGCACCGTCTGGCATCGTATCATTTGCTAATACAGGCCAGTGAAATAGCGGCATGCTCGATTGGTCAGGAGGATATGACCCCCGAGGCACAACCGACGAATTCGGACGAGTTGGCTTTGGTCCTGATCTCACTCTGATCAGCTGCGTTGCAACGTATCAAGGACACACAAGTCACTGCGCGAAGTGTTTGTGATCCTGCGGGCTTTGCAGCGAGCCATGGGGCGGGGTGCTGCTGTTGTGCCAGATCCCATTTTCAACTCAACTTCGGTGTGCTTTGGAGTTGCATTCGTCACTGTGTGCTTGATCAGGTGTACGTTCATCAAATTTACATGAAGTCCTCCTCATAGTCTTGCGGCGTGGTGTACTTTTCCCGCAGCTCGGCGTTGGACACCATGTTTTCTTCCTGCGCAGTCAGAGCACAGGAAGAGTAGAGACCGCAGTTCAGGCTGGACAGGTGTGCGGCCTGGTTGCCTGCCTGAGAGCAGTCCCCATCCTTCATGTCACCCCTTATCTTGCTTGAGCAATAAGTGCATCTGGGTACCGCCCACCTTCATTATGTGCTTGTAGCTCTTGAGGTCCTCCTGCCGCCGCTGCTCGTCCTTGGCCACCTTGGCCTCCTGCCGCGCTTGCCGCTCTTCGGCCCGCTTGCGGGCGCGCACTAGCGCCTCAAATGTCTGTGGCGTGCCCGCGTGATGCACAATGCATGAGGCACAGTGTACACGGTATAATGTGTTGGATTTTGAAGTTGTGTGCCTACCGCCAGGGGCCAGCGCCTGACACCATTCCCCAAGCCATCCGCACGCGCGCTCTCAAGTCTGCACACACATATGCACGTGCAACCGCAAACGCACGCACCCATCAATGCAACCACATACAACCACGCACGCGCTGGCGCACCTCCTTCTCCGCCCGCAGGTCGGGGTTGCGCTCGTCCCTGGTCTTCTCCAGCCGCTTTATAATGTCGTTGCTCTTGCGCTCCACCTTGGCCTTGCGCACACGCTTGGCGTCGTGGAAACCCACCTGCCGCCCATGCACATGAAGCAGCAGCCCTTTTTGAGGTGTGAACCGTTAGCATGCGCCAGCAGCGCCCTGCAGACAGAATCCCGCATCCTCGGCAGAGAGGCACAGATGCGGCCAAGGACGACACAGCAAGATGCTGCTCACTGAAGGGAGTGGCGCTGTGGCGGCTGCTGTCAAGATCGCCCTGCCACAGGAGGCACAGCCTGACCCAGCATCCCAACCCCACCTGGCCAATATCCATGTCTGCTGTTTTCTTAAGATTGGCCCAGGGCGTGTACACGATGGGCACATTGTTGAGCTTGCAGCCTAAGATGGCAAATCCAGGGAATGACGCTGGCGTTGTAAGGGCTGGGGCGAGGAGGGCAGCGCAAACACAAGTACGTGCGAAGCAGGAGGGCGAGCGCCTTGAGCGCTCTTGACCGCCACCCTGCACGCGCGGCCGTTGCACGACTTGTACACACAGGCCTACTGATTTTTTCCGCACAAGAGGCGCCGCTCTCGCAGCCCACCCTGAATGGAGTTCTCCTTGACCAGCTGGCAGCAGTCCTCCAGTGTGTAATCTGGAATGTCGTCCATTGTAGTGCCCTCCGGCAGCCGCAGGTACACATGAGCAGACGACAGGTCGTCCACATGGAACCTGGGGGAAGTATGGTTGAGGGTCGGGGAGGCTGGTACACATCCAAAAGCGACACCGAATTGATGGCAGGTGTTTACAGGGAGCGAAAATCAAGAGTGCCCAGTGTGAGCAGGAATAATTGAGATGCTGGGCATGCCTTGCGCCACGTATTGGTGAATCACGCGCTGCTCATTAGAAATCAGCCAATCGGCCTTTGGTATGCCACCTGGTGAGGCCATGCTGTTTGATCCAGGCCCTACTCACCACACGTCCGTGGGCAGGCCATACTTGATCAGGTCCTGCACCAGGAGGGGGTGCGGGGGAGCGGAAACTGAGGTGGGGCCGCCACTCCACGGCCGCGCTGCACCGCCCAGCAGCCGGAGTGGAGCAATAACCCTTTACATGAGCATGGCTAGCAAGGCCTTGCAGGAGAGGTTCGATGAGTGGATGCTTGCATGTAGGGGATGTC